CGAACGGCGAACACCTGTTTTTGCTTAAGGTGTTCGCCGAACCGAACAGTGTTCGGTTTGCCGATCAGGGGTGTTCGTGCATGGGCGAACGCAAACACGTTCGTGTTCGCCCTTTGCTCATCCCTAGTTTTAATGCTTCTCATAATGAGACGAGTTTTGAGGCGTCACAAACCTCGTGTGGCGATGTGGTATTGCTGGATGAGATATCACTGGCGGATGACAGTGTCTTGGAGAGACTCAACAGCGTGCTGGAGACCAAGCGGACACTGGTGAGTTTGAAAGCCCTTCAAAATGAGATGAGTTTTGAGGTGCTTTTAGTCTTGAGTGGCGATGTGGTAATGTTGGATGAGATATCGCTGGCGGATGACAGTGTCTTGGAGAGGCTTAACAGCGTGCTGGAGACCAAGCGAACACTGGTGAGCGAGTAGGAGGTCTAGGGAGAGGCGGGTTGATGAGTAGGAGGACTGAACCTGATGAGAGGTTTGATTTGGCATTGTCAGAGCGAAATACTGGCGAAACATATATTTAAATCTCGCACGTTGTGATTGACCTCCTCCTCCCTCTCTCCACAGGTGCTGGCAGAGAAGGGAGGCCCAGAGGCAGAGCACATAGTGGCACACCCAGACTTCCGCCTCATAGCCACCATGAACCCGGGAGGGGACTACGGCAAGAAGGAGCTCTCCCCTGCGCTGCGCAACCGCTTCACCGAGGTGTGGGTGCCGCCCAACAAGGACATCGACGACCTCACGGCTATCGTTGCTGACCGGTGCGTCCTGTGTGCTTGTTGGCTAATGCGTGGTGCTGGAGCGGTGCTGTGTGATGGACTGTGCCTTAACAACTGGTTCACCCAGGTGCTGCACAACATGGGCATGGGTAACCGTACAGGTATCCACGCTGACAGGTGGATTCAGTTCCATTCCTTTCAGCTCAGTCAGTCTCCTTGGCTGGCGAGCATGTGTGGGTGGTGCTGTGCTGTATGGCGGTAGAATGGTGTATGGGGGTTGACCAACGAAGACATCAGCTACGACCTCATGTCACCGCCATAGTTGCTGGCTGGTAAGCTCTCAGGTGGTTTCGCATTACCGTGGTGTTCTTTCCACAGGCACTCTTCCGTCGTTGTGCAATGTGGTGCATTGTGCTCAGCTCAATGCATCCCTCGCTACCCCTCTCCTCCATGCACCAACTCTTTTTTAGTAGACCCTGGCTTGCCCCATATTGGAGCGCCATTGTGTTTCTGTGCCTTGGTCCCTCTTTTCCTTGGTGTGTGCAGCTTTGCGTCTCCCTACCTGGCGGATCTTGCGGGTCCCATGCTCAGATTCTGGCAGGTATTCCTCTTCTCTCTTTTCCCCTTCTTCCCATTGAAGCTCCATTCAGCAGATACACAGCCTCTGTTGTGTTATGCGCGTGATATGTTGTGTTTGTTCCATTCTTTTCTATTCGGTTCTCCTATTCTTTTGTGACTATCTTCTCCTCCTTTCCCACTCCATGTCTTTTATCTCTTCTCCCCCTGCTTGCTTCTCTGCATTTCCTGATGCTTGATCCCACCCCCATCTCCACCACCACCACCAGTGGTTTGAGGCAGAGGGCGATGCAGGCACCGTGCTGTCAGTGCGAGACCTGCTCTCCTGGGCCGCCTTTGTCAACGCCACCGCTCACCTCACTCCACCAACTCAGCCGACACAGAATGATCCGGACAAGGCCAAACCCGCAGCAGCCGGCGAATTGATTAGCACCGCAGCAGGGGACGCGGTGCGCATAGACAAGTGGACGGCGTTTCTCCACGGGGCATTCTTGGTGTTTCTGGATGGCGTGGGCATCGGACAAGGGCTGCCGGAGGATGTGGCGCAGACTGTCCGCGCTCGCAGCTTCAACCTGCTGCTGCACCTGCTGCCGCCGGTAGGTCAAGTAACACTGGAACAACAGGCTCTAATCGACTGTGTGTTCCTGCTCTCTTGACAAGGGGTATCGATGGAAGCTATTGTGAGCAATATTTGAGAATTCTCACAAGTTGCTCCTTGGGAAGGATATGGAAGCTTTTGTGCTTCTTTTTTTGAACAAATTCGGTGATTGGATTTTGGATGGAAGGAGTCATTTGGAAGAAGGTGTTTGTGTTGGACTGCTGTGACCACTGGACCTGAGGAATCAAAGTATCTACTTCAAATTCAAATGGCGTTCCTCAACTCACCTGTCTCTCCCGTTCTGTGTCTACAGGAGGCCAAGGCAGCAGGCGTGCAAGTGGGTGTTCAGAGCAAGCTGATAACAGAGGTAGCCGCTTCAGGCCCCTCTGTTTCACCGAAGATGAACCCGACAGACATGCAGCGAGTGTTTGGCTTCTACCCCTTCTACATACCACGAGGTAATACATCTTGATCTCCAGTCTGACTCGGCCTTCTGTAGCCAGCTGGAACAGTCGCCCTGGCAGCAGCTGGTGTGGCTGCATTCTCTTTGCTTTGCAATCTCTTTGCATTGGTTTGGTGGCTTGCTTGCTTGCAGTGTGCTTGTAATGCTTTCCCGTGCCTTGTCCAATTCGGAGACAGAACCCCTTGTATGGTGTTGTGCATGCAATGTGGTACATACATTCTCAGTTTCTGATTGTCTTTGCTTCCGCACGGCTTGGGGCTGTCGAGTGTGGCCCAGTAGTTGCTCCGTGATTTTGAGGCGCTTCAAAAATCACCCCAATGTGGGCCAGAAGTTGCTCCGTGTCATGTCACTGTTTCGCCATGGCATTCCCTTCTCTTTCCCATGTCGCTCTCCATATCCCCCTGCCCTCTTTGTTTCAATTCCCTCCACCCCTCCTCTCTCGGTCTCCTTCTCCTCCCTTCCTCCTTCTCCTTGTTTCATCCCCACCTCCCTATCTCTCCTCCACTCTCTCCCGCCCTCCTTCCTGTCTCTTTTCCCTCCTCTCCTGCTTCTCCCATCCGGCTTCCCTGTCTCACTCCTTCCCGTCCAGGCCCGTGTGCCACGGACACATCAGTGCCGTTTGAGCTGACAGCGCCCACCACCAACGCCAACGTTGTTCGGCTGCTCAGAGCCATGCAGATCCGCAAGCCAGGTGCGCTGTCTTTCACTGCATGCAATCAATCGCGCTGCGTTGCATGCACGAGGGATGGCTGCGCGCGCACTCGCGCGTGTGCACTGCACACAGTAGTGCAGCTGTCGGTAGCGGTGTGTGTTTGTCCGACGCTACTTGCGAAAGGGCAGGTGTGCTTGCGTTCTTGCACTCATGTGTGTGCTTGCATGCTTTGTGGCATTGCATGTGCCATACGTTAGGCTGCATGTTGTATTGTACTTCTCCTTTGCCCTCTGCCTTATTTCCCTGGGCACAGCAGCACTGGTTCAGACTTGTAGGTGTTAGGCTCTCTTTAACAAACTGTGACCCACTCACCCAGCTTCTTCTTAAAGCACGCCCCTTCCCGGCTCCCTCCCCCCGCGTCCCCGTCGTCCCCCTTACCCACTCAACCCCCCGTGCAGTGTTATTGGAGGGCAGTCCAGGCGTGGGAAAGACGAGTCTGGTGGCAGCTTTGGCAGCAGCAGCAGGGCACCGCCTCGTGCGAATCAACCTGTCCGAGCAGGTCAGTCAGAGGGGCACACGGACAGAGCGGCACAGGGACAAGTGTTTTGTGGTGTATGCCCTTTGCAAGGGGAGGAGAGGGGTCTGTATGCATGAGGGGAGGAGTCTGTATGGGCCTGTCCAGAGCTTTGCATTTTGTTGCAACTTTTCCGCTTCCCCTCCTCTCGTTCTCCCAAAGCCCATCCCTAAAGCCTGGCCTTCCTCTACTTCCCTTTCTCAATGCCGGTCACTCCCAATCTGTTCCCCACTCCCTCTGCCCACCTTCCCACCACCGTTTCCCTTCTTCCTTGCCCCCCACTCCTCTGCGTCCTGCCCTCTTCCCCTTCCTGTCCCCCCTAACCCCTGCCGCTCCCTGTCGTCAATCTTCACGACATCTGTCCCTCGCTCAAGCCCCACACACCTGCCTTTCTTCGCTTGCGCCCCACCTGAACTCCCCACGCCACGCCATATCGCGACAGACGGACATGATTATGAATCGTCTGGGGTCAGACCTGCCCGCAGGGGGTGGCAAGGGAGGGACGGGTGCCCGTCCTCTACTCATGTCCTTCCTCCACCTCCCTTACTCAAAGCTGGACACCCCACCCCCCACCCACCCGCCTTCCCCACCACCCCAAACGCCATATTACCACAGACGGACATGATGGATCTACTGGGGTCAGACCTGCCCGTGGAGGGTGGCAAGGGGGGCGAATTCCGGTGGGCCGATGGGGTCTTCCTGCAGGTACGTGTGCCCCTCATGTAGGTGAAACACTTGTTGCTGCATTCCTGCAGGTGTTTCTTGCCATGCTATTGTTTCACCGCTGTCCTTGCGTTCCATCTGCTATTGTCGCAGTGCGGCGCGGCAGCCCCAATTTGTGGCCTGCTGTTCCAATGCCCTTGAATCTGTGAACTTGCGGTCTCTGCTTTGTCGAGTCGAATCACACTAACTAGTTGTGTGAGACGGAGTCTTTGCACCTGTTCTTTCTATATCCCTCCCAACTGGTGTTATGGATGGATCGTGAGTTGACCTGATGTTTCAGTCACTCCATCGCAGAAGGCCTCAACAGTCATACCCCCTTCCCATCTTTCCACCACAGCCAACCACTGTAGCACACGCTGCATAACACTCTCTGTAACTACCCACCACATGCCCCTTCCTGCCTTGCAGGCCCTGAAGGCGGGCGACTGGGTGCTTCTGGACGAGTGAAACATGGCGTCTCAGTCCATTCTAGAAGGACTCAACAGCTGCCTGGACCACCGAGCAGACGTCTTCCTGCCCGACCTCAACCGCACCTTCCACTGCCCGCCCTCCTCTCCTTGCAGTGCAGGCTCTAACTGCAGCAAACCGGGCTCTTTGCCTTTGCTGCTGGACATGCTGTTCCCTCCCCTCTCCCCGCCACAACCCGTCTCTCTCACTATGCACTCCTTCCTTCTATCCTCCTCCTTGCAGGCCCTGAAAGCAGGAGACTGGGTGCTGCTAGACGAGTTGAATCTGGCGTCTCAGTCCATCCTAGAAGGTCTCAACAGCTGTCTGGACCACCGAGCAGACGTCTTTCTGCCCGACCTCAACCGCACCTTCCACTGCCCGCCCTCCTTCCGCATCTTCGCCGCTCAGAACCCCCTGCAGCAGGGGGGTGGGCGGAAAGGCCTCCCTAAGTCCTTTCTCAATCGCTTCTCCAAGGTGGGGTGCCTGGCTGCTGCTGCTGCCGCTGCCGCCGCCGCCGCCACTGCTGCTGGCCGTAGTTTCCACCTGTTGCGCTTTCCTGTTTCCCGTGAATGGTCTTCAAGCGTCAAGCAACTCGACCAATCACCCTGTGTGTGCCTGCATGTGCTCACACCATCACAGGTGTACGTGCAAGCCCTGGAGTCAGACGACTTCATCTAATGCTTGTGTGTCTTTGCGTCTGTGTTTGTGTCTGTGTCTTTGTCTGTGCCTGTGTGTGCTCACACCTGCACAGGTGTACGTGCAAGCTCTGGAGTCGGACGATTTCATCTTCATCGCATCAGCGCTCTTCCCATCAGTGCCCCGCCCTCTCCTCCACAAAATGGTCGACTTCAACACTCAGTTGCGCACGCACGCCCTCTCCCGCACCTCCTCCTTTGGCATGGCCGCTAGTGGCGCCGGGGGTCCCCTCTGGGAGTTCAACCTGAGGGATGTTCTGCGCTGGTGCGAGCTCATATGCTCGCCGGGAGCTGCTGCTGCTGCTGCTGGGGTTGATGCAGAACATTTCGTGCAGGGTCCAGAGGACGAGGAGGAGAAACAGGAGGGGGACAAGGATGGGGAGGAAGGTGGGGAGAGAAAGCCGCAGCAGTTGCGGAATCAGCAGCAGGTGCAGCACCCGGGCCGGTTTGTGAATCTGCTGTACATTCAGCGGCTGAGATCAGCAAGCGAGCGGCGCTTTGTAGCTCAGCTGTTCCTCTCTGTCTTCGGCCACCCTCTGCCATTCGACCCCCACCCCTCCATCTCCCTCACCCCCACCCTCCTCCGCATAGGCAACGCTTCGCTCCCAAGAGCCTCCCTTTGCGCCGCCCCCTCCTCCTCCTCGTCCTCCTCCTCCTCCCCTTCCCAACCTGCCCCCACCCCCTCTTCTTCCTCTGCCATGCTCCTCTCCTCCTCCCTCCACCTCCTCCCCGCCTCTGCATCCGCGCTCGAGTCAGCTGCAGCGGCTGTAGCGCACAACTGGATGGTCATTCTCGTGGGGCCCGCAGCGTCTGGCAAAACCTCTCTGGTGCGCCAGCTGGCCCAGCTGGCAGGGAGGAGGTTGCGGGAGATGCCGCTGACGTCAGCCACGGATACGACTGATTTGTTGGGGTGTTTTGAGCAGCGGGATGGCAGGCGGCAACTGGGGGAGGTGGAGAGGCGCGTGGAGGGTCTTGTGAGGGAGGTGGCTGCTGCTGTGCTTGCTAGCGGTGCTGGTAGTGGTGCTGCTGGTGATGGTGGTGGTGGTGGTGGTGGTGGTGGTGGCGAGATGGTGAATGAGGTGGGGGTATTGACCAGTGAATGGTGGCAATACTGGCAGCAGGCGAAGGAAAGAGATGGGCTGAACCTGGGTAAGACAGACAAGGCCGAAGGAGGAGAGGAAGGGGGGAGTGAGGGCGGAGGAGGGAGAGGTGAGAGCAGTGCTGGTGGTGCTGCTTGTGATGCAAGTGGTATGGCTCTTCAGGCTAGGGATACGCTTGCTGCACAGCTGGCGCAGTTTGATTGGCTGCTGAGGATAGTTGGTAAGGCCCGGAGCATGCTGGTGGAATTAGAGGGAGTGGCATGTGGGGGTGAAGGGAGGAGGGGAGATGAGAGGGGTGAAGAGGGGGCAGGGGAGGATGGGGGAGAGGAAATGGAAGAAGGGGAAGAGGTGGATGAGGAAGAGGAGTCAGGAACAGTAGCAGCAGCAGAATCAGGGGGAGGAGGAGACGTGGCGAGAGCAAACAGCCCTGTATCCATTCTGGTGGCTGTAGCGGACAGCCTAGCAGGGGCAGTGAGAGAGGCGCGGGGGGTGTGCGAGGAGGAGGGCATGGCACGGGCAGCAGGGCACTTTGAGTGGGTGGAGGGGCCGCTGGTGGAGGCAGTGGTGCAGGGCGACTGGGCTGTGCTCGATAATGCCAACTTCTGCAACCCCTCGGTGAGTCTATCCGTGACGTGTAAGTGCAACCCTGACAAGCGAGTTGTAACATTAAGCGGAATTCAAATAGGTGGATGAAGAGCCCTAGGCCCACACAGGTGGAGTGGCAATGGAGTTGCAAAATTTCGTTTGTCTTTCAACAAACCCCATGCTGTCCTGATTTCAAATCAGCTGGTGAAGGAGAGGGGGGGGGGGGGGGGGGTTGCTACTGTGCTCTTCTGCTTTTCTGAAACCTTTTGTCCTGCTGACGACAAGCATCCCTATTCGACATCAGAAATCTGTTCCCTCCCCACCCGCCACTTCCTCCGCACCCCTCCCCACCCCACGCCACCGCAGGTACTGGATCGCCTGAACCCCCTGGTGGAGCCGCACGGGCACCTGCTGGTGAACGAGCGGTGCCTGGTGGACGGCAAGCCCGTGCTGCTGCGCCCACACCCCCACTTCTGACTTTTTCCCCCCATCCCACCCTACCCCACTTTACCGCACCCCACCGCAGGTACTGGATCACCTGAACCCCCTGGTGGAGCCGCACGGGCACCTGCTGGTCAACGAGCGGGGCCTGGTGGATGGCAAGCCCGTGCTGCTGCGCCCGCACCCCTCCCTCTGACTCTTTCCCTACATCCAACCACTCCCCACTCCACCCCACCCCACCGCGCCCCACCGCAGGTACTGGACCGACTGAACCCGCTAGTGGAGCCACACGGGCACCTTCTAGTCAACGAGCGGGGTCTGGTGGATGGCAAGCCCGTGCTGCTGCGCCCGCACCCCGACTTCCGGCTCTTCCTCTGCCTCGACCCGCACTACGGGGAGGTCTCTCGCGCCATGCGCAACCGCGGAGTTGAGATCTTCCTCATGCCCCCCGACTGGCCCTGCCCTGCCGTGCCGCCGCTGCTGCCGGCTCCTGCTCGCGCTGGTTCTTCTGGGTTGGAGGCTGCTGCTGCTGGTGCGGTTTCTGCTGTGGCTGGTGCTAGTGCAGGGGGGCATGGGTTGTTGGATCGAGTGGTGGTGGATTCAGGGTTTGGGGACGGCTGTGTCGGGGTGGAGGGAGAGCCAGGAGGACAGACAGGTTCGGAGGTTCCAGGGGTAAGATGGGCGTGAGCACTGGCGGGCAGGATGGGAAGAGGAGTATGGAAGGAGCAGGGAGTGGAGAAGAGAAGGATCCAGCGGTTAAGATTCTCTCTCTTTTGGATCCTTCTGCTTGGATCGCTGGTCGGCACCAGCGCCTGCCTGAGAAGCTCATCTCAACCGTCCATCTGGTCATCAGATCGGGGATCGCTAGCCCTCGGTTGGTGGCCTGCATTCTCCTCGCGCTTCTCCGGATCCAATCACTGGCTGCCACGTGGAAGCTTCCTGGTGGAGGCATCGTAGGCGGGGGAAGAAAGGGGTCTGGAACAACAGCAGCAACAACAGAAGCAGCAGCAGCTGCAGTAGTAGCAGAGGCAACCATATCCCCAGCAGCAGTGGCAGCAGCAGTAGAGGCGTCTCAGAACTACGGAGCGTGTCCCACACTAAGGGAAGTGAACCATCTGCTGCGCCTGCTGATCGAGTTGGTGACTCGGGGAAAGCCTGTGGCGGTGGCGCTGGTGACAGCATGGGACCAGACGTTTGTGCGGCGAATGCAGGATGAGGGGCGGAGGGAGCAGGCCGGCCGCGTCATTCGAGACGCCTTGCGTTGGGCTTGTGATGCCGAAGGGGCAGTGCCAGTTGGTGGTGCTGCTGACGCTGCTACTGGTGCTGGTGCTACCAGTGCTGCTGCTGGCCAGGACTCCCTCACCACATCCTCCTCCCCACTCTCTCCTGCTCCTGTCCCTCCCTTCGCCTCTGCCTCACTCGTCCTCCCTGGCGGTTGGGCTATGGCACCTCTACCCCTACCACTAGCCACACTGCACACCATGCCCTCTCGCCTGCATGCTGACATCTCCCCACTCATCGCAATCCTAGGCCAGCTCACCTCCTCAGAGCTTCTCGGCCAATGGGACAGAATCCTCTCCCGGCAAGATCTTCCAATCGGCACGCGCCACGTGGCGGCGCGTGACTGGGCCTTGCAGCTGCCGGCACAGGTGCGACTATGGCTGCCTGAGTCCTGTCTAGCTGTGCTATCTCAACAGTCTCAACAGGGCAAGGACCGAGAAGAAGAAGGAGAAGAAGAAGCTAGCGCTATGGTGACTGCAGCAGGAGTGTCAGCAGCGCGGGCACATGCACGGGGAGCGGTGCTGCTGCGTCTGCTGCTAGAGCTGTTTCTAGACCGGAGTATGTCACTCGAAGACCTGACTCTCCGCCTGTCTCTCGCCCGCTCACACGCCTCTGGCCCTGCTGCTGCTGCTACTGGCACCACCAACGCTGCAACAGCAGCATGTGCAGAGCTCAACCGGTTAATCGACTCCCTCTCTCCCTTACCACTACACCGCTGCCTTTCCGACCTCTCATCCACACGCTCAGCGCTGCTCCATGCTCTCTCTGTGCCTGCACCCATCGCTGCCTCTTTCCCTCTGGATGTATCTGTTTCTCCTCAAGTGGCCGCTCTGGTAGCTGATGCCTCTAGCACCGCTCTACACAGTGTGCCTGGGAGGTTTGGGAGTGGAGAGGACGAGGGTGTGCGTTCAGGAGGCGACGCTATGCAGATGGATGGTGAAATAGGAGTGTCGCCTGCAGTGCTGTGGCGCAATGCGTCTGCAGCAGCCAATAGAATGAGAGCGCTCCGCCGGTGCTTGCTACAGTGGTCGCTAGAGGACGAAATGAGCCAGAGGGCGCTGCTAGCTCAGGAAGCTTCCGCGCAGTCCACTGCGTTTGGCTGCTCCCTCCTGCACTTCTCCGGCGTGCCTGAACTGCAGCAGAGAGCCAACCAGATTCTAGCAGCATCAGCCACAGCGGCAACAACCAGTGCGAGCGGAGGAGGGGATGGAAGGTCAAGGGGTCTGCTGCTAGTGGCTCCTTTCCTCTCTGCTCTCCGCCAGGTGGAAACAGCACTGCTGGATTGCCCTCCCCCGCTCGCTCATGCGCTGTGGGCTGCGGTGGCGGCGAACGGACAGGGACTAGAGGAAGTGGGAAAATCAAAGGGGGTGGAGGGAGAGGAGGCGTTTGTATCCGCGTTTGGAGTGGTGATGGAGTGGCATGAGTCGCTGTGGGAGTGTGTACGGGTGCTGCAGACAGCAGTTCCGTTTGACCGCTTTGTCTTTGTGTGGCACAAGCTGTGCTCCGCTGCTCTTCGCATGGCCAAGGCTGCAGCTAGAGCAGCAGCAGCAGCAGTATATGGAAAGTCAGATGAAGAGCTAGCAGCTGTGCGGGCTGTTGAAACGGTGAGAATTCAATGCTTCACTTGTTTCAGCAGGTTTTTTTTAATTTTTCTCAACCTCTTGTGGAGAATTTTGCTTTTCGTCATCCCTCATCCCCCTTATTTGTTGTATCTCTAATGCCACCACTGCTGCTTATCCTCTTATTTATGCCTGCTTGCTTTTCTAATTCCGCTAATGTATCTCCCAACCTTCTCTCGGCCTGCCTTCTTTCTCTCACCCCCCTAATCTCTCTCTCTCGTGTCCGCTCTCTCTCCCTTCTCAATGTGTTGACCACTGGCAGGCGTGGCGGCAGCTATGCACCACCATGGCATCCCTCAACAATGCCTTCTCTTCCCCCATCGCCCCACAACAAGCAACCCTTGCCACCACAGCCACAACCACCGCTGCCACTGGTTCTCACCCTCACCCCGTTCTCCTCGCGTCCCTGCTCGCTCAACAAACCATGTCAGCAACAGGCAGTGCAGAGCAGGACAGGGTGGGGAAGAGGTCGCTGTGGAAGGAGGCAGGGCACTCCCTGCTGCCTGCGTCATTAGCAGTGCTGCAAAAGGATGCGGCGCTTGCTGCTCTGGTGGATTCGTGGGTGCTTGCTCCTGCGCCCACAGCAGGAACAGGGCACGGGGAGGCGGAGAGCTTCAAGGCCGATGGTATGTGCGTGCGTGCGTGCGTGCGTGCATGCGTGCGTGCGTGCGTGCGTGCGTGCGTGCGTGCGTGCGTTGCGTGTGTGTGCGTGAATTCTCTGTGTGCGTGCAGCATTTCTGTACTTGTCTGGGTGACTGACCGTCATTCAAACTACGATATTCTTCCCCACTGCAGACCAATGGGAGTCTGCCACGTGGCCCATGGCTGTGGACCCGTCCTTGCGGCGCAGAGCGGTGGAGGCGCTAGGGCTGCTGCGACAAATCACAATGCGACAGCGAGGCATGGCCACACATGCTGGCAGAGGCACGCACAGCAGCAGTGGCAGTCCAGATGATGCGGATACAACGGCGGCTGATCTCATGATGGTTAGTATACACACCCTGTTTTCAAGCTCCATTCCCTTTGATCGAGTTTCTCGCTCGCTCTCTTGTGTGTTTGTTGTTCGCCTTTCGCTTCTGCTTTAGCTTCTTTGAATAAAGAGCTACTGCAGTTTTTGTGTTCGCCACTGATCATGAAGCCTACAGAATCCTTCAAAGAACCATCTTCTCAACCCTCTTCCTTCAATATCATTGTATCTTCCATCGTCTCATGCTCTCGCATTGTCTCTCACAACAGGCACTGCAAGGCGAAGCACAGCAAGCCAGGGCCATTGCCTGTCACCCCCTGGGCCCCTGTGATCTCATTCCCACCCTCCCTCGCACCACCACCACCACCACCACCGCCGCCGCCACAGCCACAGCCACAGCAGCTGCTGCTTCCCTTTCAGATCTATCAATCGACGAGCCAGCAGCCTTCTCCCCACCTCCTCCTGCGCGTCTCTTCTCAAGCGCTCTTATGAGATGGCCTGGGGTGCGCCAGCTGTGGCTGGCGATGCTGCCTCTCCTCTCCACCTCCTCCCATCTCCTTGCTTCCTCGCTTGTGGCTCGGCTGGCGCCCCTGCTGCTTCCGGGGACAGATGGCAAGCTGTCGCTGGTGGCCCTGAGCAAGGTAAGTTTGTTTGTTTGCTGGACGGTGTTGCGAGTGTTGACTGTGTGCATGACTGTGCGGGCGGGTGGGCGGGCAGGCAGGTGTGGGTGTGTGTGTGGGGTGTGGTGTGGGAGTGTGGGTGTGGGAGTGGGGGGGTGGGTGGGTGTGGGTTTCCTTTTACGACCTCACAAACTGCACCATTATTCTTTCGTTGCAGGACGTACTGTCTGACGGTTTTCTACTGATATTATATGCATGCCCATTGCCATTGCATGACTCAATCAACGTATCTCCCTACACGCATGATGCTGGTTCCACTTACTCACTTGCACTCCCTTGACCTTCCCACTCCACCTTTCCTCCCTTTGCTCTCCTCCCTTCCCCTCCTCCCCCCTTCTCCATCCTTGCCCATTTCCCCCACCCATCACACCTCTTTCTCCAACCACCAGGCGTCCTCATCTGCAGCAATCACCTCTCTCTTCCGAAGGCTCCTTCTCGAGTCCTCCCGCGCTCCCACCCAGCTGCTTCCATTCCAGCAGCTGCTCTGGATCCAAAGAGTCCCGCCCACCTCCTTCCTTCCAGGTACCTTCCTGCTCGTTTAGTCATGTCCATACCTGCATACATCCTCCTTTCCTTCGTTTCCTCCTCTTTCTTCATCGGCCTATTCTGTGGTTCCGTCCCTGCCGTGTTGATTGCTCGTCGTACCTGTTCCTTGCCCTTCGTAACCGGGCATCTTGATCACTTTCAGCTGTGGATATGTAACCACGGTGACACTTCCATTCCATCCATCCGTCCTCCCTTGTTCAGCTTTGATGACCGTCTGGACGAGCCCGGCACTAGATACATTTGTTGCTCCAATACTCTCATACTCCTCCTCACCGCACCCCACCCCCCCTTCCTCCCCTCCCCTCCCCCTGTGCAGACGAGCTTGCCCTCGCGCTGCGCTGCCTGCTGCACGACCTGCAACTGCGCCTGCTCGAGAGCCAATGGGAGTCCGCCACCTGGCGCCTGCCGCTGCTGCCATTGGGGAAGCGGTCGGGCAAGGGTGCTGACGCGGCATCAGCTGCAGCAGAGGTAGTGATGGCATGAATGCTTGGCTTTAATGGACCCTCTTCCAGTATGCCTCGTTATAAATCTGCCATGTGAGAGATAGAAGCTAGTTCTTGAGAAAGCTGATGCTCTGTACAGCCGCAAACTTGAGCAGCAGAGGGGCAGGGTATGGCAGAAAGCAGTTCCAGAGGAGAGGAGGGAAGACCATGCCTGCGAGCTAAGCTACTTCCTATGCTGCAAGGGCCAGCAGGCATTCTTTACACACAAACGCATGGATCAATCAAGTTGCCGCAGCATGTCGCATTCCTCCATGTTTCTCCAATGACCAACGTACCCAATCCATCCATGTCGCTACGTACATTGTTATTCCCCCTCTGCCCCACCAGCCCCTCGCATGGACAGCCACATCAGGTTCTGCTCGCTTCTTCCAGGCCTCGCTCTCCCTGCTCTCCGCCTCCCTCATGTGAGCCACTTGAGTTGATGCTCCAATGTGATGAGTACTTGCGTACATGCATGCATGCTTGTTTCTCTCTTTTCCTTCCTTTATTCACTGTTGCGTTGCCCTTCTCACTCTCCCCTCCCCATTTCTGCCTTCCGTCTTTCTTCGTTCCGGCCTCTCTTCTTTCCTCATCCGCTTCCTTCCTCCCCGCCCTCCACTCCCCTGACATCCGTCCCCACTTCCCCCCTCTCCCCACTTCCCCCCCTCCCCCTCCTCCCCCCGCTCCCCCTGCCCCTCAGAGCGGACATGGGGGGAGCAGCAGGGGGGCCATGGGGGGGCGGGGGTGCGACAGTGGCGGATTGTCAGGTGCAGCGGGGGCAGCTTCTGCTGGCGGCGGCTGGAGTGGGGGCGCTCTGCAGTGCTCCTGCCTCCCCTCGCCTAGACCAGCACGTTACCCTTGCTGTGGCGGCGCTTTCTCAGGTGCCGTAGCGACTGCTGTGTGTGTGTGCCACAACAACACATAGTTCTGTTTGGTTTCTGTTTGTTCTGTTTCCCCTCTTTTGTTTCCACATCTCGCAACACGTCTCTCGTTCTTTCCCCTCTGTCTTGGCTGTCTCATATCTCCTGCCTGGACCACCCTACCTCTCGCCCTTCTCCCCTACTACAGATCATAGCAGCCCATACTGCCTGCTTCCCAGAGTCCCTCCGTTCATCGCTCTCTCACCAGCTTTCCTCCGTCACAAATAAGGGCCACAAGGTTCGCTTGTAGAGGCTCGTTCTTGCAAACTTCCAAACTTACATTTCCTGCATTTTTTGCAATCTGCAATTTAAATCAGTTTTGATGTTTGCAGCAGTCATGGTCTTGCTCGCTGTTCCAGTGTCCTCCCATTTCTTCGTTGTTATTCCACGCCGGTCAAACACCCTTTCCAACCACCTGCCGGCATCGCAATTATATGCGCACCTCCCTTCCTTTAGCTACTTCTCCGTTCATTACTCCCAAACCCTCTCACTTTTTTCTCTCCTCTCCGTTTTCCATTCCCTTTCCATCCCCCCTTCCCCTCCCTTTTGCTTCAACCCATCCCCCTCCCTCTCCACCACATTGCACCCCTTCCCACCAGCTCACGGCACAAGACATGGAGCCTCTCCAGCGTCTCCTCTCCTCCACCTGCCCGCACCCTCTCGCCCTCTTCTCCTCCCACCTGCTGCTGCCCGCGCTCTCCTCCCTCACCGATGCTCTCCGCGCCAGGGAGATGCCACGCACACAGGGGCTGCTTCAGCCCGATTCCTCAGGTAGTTGACACTTAGCTGCTTGCAACAGGCCCGATTCTTCAGGTGATTGACAGGGGCTGCTTCAGCCCGATTCCCCAGGTGATTGACACTTAGCTGCTTGGGACAGGTCCTGCTTGTGATGCGTCCTCTAAGGGGCCTCCTCTAAGGGGAATGCCACGCACACAGGGGCTGCTTCAGCCTGATTCCTCAGGTAGTTGACACTTAGCTGCTGCAGGGAGTTTTTGAGACTTCTCAAAAACTCCCTGCGACAGGTCCTGCTTGTGATGAGTCCTCTAAGGGGCCTCCTGTATCGAGTAATCTATGCCTGTCACGCTTTCTGTTAAGTTCGTGTTCCAAAACCGAGGAGCAGTTTTCCCACTGGTTGCTGCTCCAACTTCATATCATTCTGCCGCATTTCATCCCCTCGTCTCGAGCCTCATGCAATCTCGTCTCACCCCACATGCAACCGCCATCTCTTCCCCACCAGAGGCCCTAGCCCATCTGGGCAGCGCCTGGCTGCGAGTGGGCTGTCTGCGCCTGCACCTCCTCCTCCCCCCGGGGGAGTGGTCCCCACATCCAAGTACCGCCACGCGCTCTCTCACCCCACATGTAATCCCCCCCACTCCCGTCTCTCCCCCACCAGAGGCCCTAGCCCATCTGGGCAGCGTGTGGCTGCGAGTGGGCTGTCTGCGCCTGCATCTCCTCCTTCCCCCAGGGGGGGGGGGGGGTAGACCCCACATCCAAGTATTGCCACGCACTCTCGCACCCCACATATATAATCCCTCCCAACTCCCGCCTCTTCCCCACCAGAGGCTCTAGCCCATCTGGGCAGCGCCTGGCTGCGAGTGGGCTGTCTGCGCCTGCACCTCCTCCTTCCCCCAGGGGGAGTAGACCCCACATCTAAGTACCGCCATGCACTCTCGCACCTGGAGCAGCAGCACACCGACCTCACGCTTCAACTCAAGGTCAGTGAATAGATAGAACTAAGTCCCCTTAGAAAGTAGACCTCTCCTTCCCACAGGGGAAGTAGACCTCACATTCAAGTACAGCCACGCGCTCTCGCACTTGGAGCAACAGCACACCGACCTCACGCTTCAACTCAAGGTCAGTGGCAAGTCACACTCCTGCTCCGGTTTTTGAGGCGCCTCAGAAGCAGCACATGGAGCTGACCTCTCTCTCCAACTCAAGTTCAGTGATCATCAAGCTCGACTGCTTTGGTTCTTGTCCTCCCCTTCTTCTCGGGCTCATGAGTACGCCTCCACTTGACTTGTGATCATCTTCTTGGATCTGAAATGCCTCAACGTTTGGTGACCTAGTTCAAAACGCCTGTCATATGGTCATCCGTTCATTCCCTCGCACCCATCCTCCATTCCACTCGCCCCCACCCTTTCTGCGCTGCACGTACCCACCCTCCACTCCACCTACCCTGCATTTCACTCTGCGTCCCGCCACTTTAACTTCTGACCCACCACTTTCACTTGCCGCAGCTGCACGAGTGGCTGGCAGCAGTGGGCACGGACGGCATCACACACCACCAGCGGGCCGCACAAGCAATCGCTGTGCTATCCATTCCACTCCACTCACTCACCCTCCACTCTCATGTGCCCTTTCCTTGCCTCACCACAGCTACGAGTGGCTGGCAGCAGTGGGCACGGATGGCATCACACACTCACCACAGGGCCGCACATACCGCTGCCTTGCATTCCATTACCCACCAACCCTGCGCTCCATTCCACCCACCCTCCACTCTCACTCTTCCTACCCTTTCCACCACAGCTGCACGAGTGGCTGGCAGCAGTGGGCACGGACGGCATCACACACCACCAGCGGGCAGCGCACGCCATTGCCCTGCAGCTGGAGGAGGTTTCCAGGAAGCTGTGGGCTGCACGTGCCAAGGTGTGTTGTTGCGACCTGTCGGCTGTCTGTACTTGTGCTGTTGTGTTGTTTTCCATGCATGCCTCTGTCTTTTGTTTCTGCCACGGATCTTTAATTGTGTGGTTCCTGGTGACCTGTTACTTGACATAGCGGCTCTTAGGCCGTGCTCGTGCCAATTTTTCTTCTTTCCTTCCTCACCTTCACTCACCCACCCCTCTACTCCCCTCTTTCCGCCCCTCCCCGCCCTACCTACCTACCGACCCCACTTTTCCCCTTGGACACCCTTCCCCATCCACTCGCCTTCCCCTCCCCCAGTCCGTGGCTCGCCCCGAGCCCTCGCCCTACCCGGCCTTCTTCCAGGAGGTTTCGCGCTTCCTCACATGGACGGCAGGCGTGGAGCGTGTGAGCGGCATCGTTCGGCAGTGCATGGCGGTGGTGGCTGCTGGTTTGGGCGTGCAAGTGAACGCACCTGTGCGAGTTTCCGACTTGGACCTGGCGAATCTGCTGTCTCATGTGTCTGCCTGGAAGGTGCGTGGGTGAATGGGAATGCAGAGCAGAGTGCTGTATTAAGTGATTTATAAGTCGACTCAAGAATCGCCTCAAGTGCACTCGCCCGTGCGGGTTTCGGATTTGGAGCTGGCGAATCTGCTGTCTCATGTGTCCTCTTGGAAGGTGTGTGAGAGGATGGGCAAATGGTGAGGGGCTGGGATGGGGTGGTAGGATTGGGTTGAATCATGGGTGTGTGTGTGTATGCGCATGAACACACCTTGCATGCATCAACATGTACGTGTATTTTGGCGCTGAGGTCGCATTCACATAAGATGTGCTGGCCTTCCCCCCACGCCATCCCCTCCCTTTCCTCCCCCTCTTTTCCCATTGCCCTATCTCTCCTCCACCATCTGCCCCTCCCCGCAGTCGTCAGTGGCAGCGTTCGCGCAGCGCTTGCCGCGCAGCTTCCCGCTGCTGAGGGACGTGGTGCAGCCGTGTCAGCTGGCAGCATACGAGATGGTGCACGGCGCATCGCTGCTGCTCTGCTCTGCTCTCGCCTCCGCCCTTCAAACAACCGATGGCGCCCTCACGGTAGGTTTTGAGACGTCTCAAAGCAATTCCCGCTGCTGAGGGACGTGGTGCAGCCGTGTCAGCTGGCGGCATACGAGATGGTGCACGGCGCATCGCTGCTGCTCTGCGCTGCGCTCTCCTCCGCCCTTCACACCACCGATGGGCCACTCGGGGTATGCTTCGACAAAGGAAAAAAAAAGTTGGAGGAGAAGAAACAGTTGGGAGAATAAATCTTGCTTCTTGTCTTGTTGAGTTTGCGAGCCTCTTCCTGCGGCCTGGGCTTGCCCTTTTCTTCGCCTTTGTTCCTCTTTCCGCCCATTATCTCCCACATCTCCAATTCCATCCGCATTCTTTAGGCAGCAGCCTTGGATTCTCCCCTCGTCTGTATGTGTATCCCCCCTTTTGCATGCAGCGACTGCCTCTATCCCTCAACCCTCCCTCTCTCCTTTTTTTCCCACACTCCCTCTTCTCCAACCTCTCATTTGCAACCCTTTCTTCCCAGGCTGTCACCAAGTCTCTCCTCTCCTTTCCTCGAGCCGTTACCATCCCCACTCAAACTCAACCACCCACACTGACCCCAACCACAAACGCCACCAGCATCATCATCAGCAATAAAATAGACCAGCCAGCAGCAGCAACAGCAGCAGCAGCTGTTGTTTCCTCCTCCCGTGCGGCTCTATTTCTGCACAAGGACGTGTTTGCAGCTCTGCATGCCCGTGCCAGCAGGTTGAGCGGAGGCAGCAGCAACCAGGAGAAGGAGGTAGGCAGCACAGACAAACGCCCTTTTTACCTTTATATCTCTGTTGTATTGCGCCACTCATGTTAATTGAATTGCTTCTATCCAGACATCACTCTGTACAACGCAGCTTCTTTCTGTGGCAAACACGCGATTCATGCATGCGCCTTGCCTGTGCAGGTGACAGCATCAGTTGCAGTGGTGTCGCTGCTGCGTGCAGCACTCTTTGCAGTAAAGGACGACGTCACTCCAGCCGCACTCTACTCTCCAACCACAGGCCCAGAGGCCCTACAAGTCCTAGAGCAATCCTTCGCAGCATTCGTAGACATCTGGTCTGAAATGCGAGACAAGGAGCGGCAGCAGCAGGCAGAGGCGGAGCAGCTGTACAAGCAGCGCAGCAGCAGCACCACGAGCACGCTGGAGCTAGAGGAGGATGATGCGGAGGCGGAGGAGGAGGAGTACCGGGCCATGTTCCCCTCGCTCTCTGACCACTTCGCTGATTTGGACGTGAAGGAGCATGTTCATGCTGACGAGGACGATGTGAGTGCCTTCCTGCCCTCCCTGCTTCTTTTGTGTGCGTGCTTACTTGCTGCTGCTGCTACTGGCTGGAGCGTACCCAAGAAAGCAAGTGGCTGCCATGTGAATACATGGCCATGTTAAGTAATGGCTGCCACGTTAAGTCATGGCACCTCACGTCACTGGTGTTCAGTCAATCTTCCTTGGAGCTCATCCAAGAAAGGCAAGGCCGTCCCCTCCTCTGCCATCATTTTCTCCTTCCCCAACAGGCTCGGGCAGCGCAGGCCAAGAAGCAGGAGGAGCGGGAGCGGCAGGAGAAGGAAGAGGAGGAGGAGGAGAGCAGGGGCGGGAAGGGCATAGCAATAGTATGGAGGGCGCTCAAGGAGGAGGGCGGGCTCACATCAGAGCTGGTGGACCTGCACTGCCGCCTCTTCTCACCTTCAGAGGATCTCACACCGCACACTTGTGCCACTCCTCCTGCGCTTCCCTGCGCTGGCTTCACGGCTGCGTATGACACTGCTACTCACATCCTCAGAGGTAAGCTTTGACCAGCACGGTGAAACCCACTTTGTTTAGTAGAAGTTTGGAGAATGGCTGCCTGCAATGCTGTTTCCTTTGCTCTACCCGGCATTCTTGTTGCTTTCCACCCTCTGCCCCTTGTGCCCCATCAGTCACGGACGGGATTCTCCCGTGCTTAGTGGACGAAGCAACATCCGACTCTCTCTTGAAAGTAGTTTATCTGTTCTGATCTGAGTCCTGTGAATCCCAACTTTCACCCTCTACCTCTTTTGACCCATCAGTCACGGGTGGGATTCTCCCGTGCTCAGTGGACGAGGCAACATCCGAGGCCCACTTCTTCCGCCTCTGCTCCGCTGCTAACGAGCTCTCCACAGCTCCCACCACCGCTACAAGCACACCTGCTTCTGTCACACCTGCACCGGGGGCAGCAGAGCAACGGGCCATTCCAGTCGACCTCAGAAAGGTCTCTTCTTTTTTCCGTTCCATTAGTTGCTGAGACCCAAGAAAGGTTCTTGATGCAGTTCGTTTTCCCAATGTAACACACTCTTTTCAGCCGCTTCTTCCCTCCACTACTACCCTCATTGCTTCCTCTACCATTTTCCCCTGCCTGTCAAGCCCACACACACGCCACACCCCACTTACCACGCCCCACTTACCACTCCCTCCACCCCCAGGTGGCATCACCATCAGAGCTGGCGCTCATGCTTCCACGGCTGCAGCACCTTTAAGAGCCTTGTCACACCCCACAACCCACACACCCACTCCCTCCACCCACAGGTGGCATCACCATCGGAGCTGCCGCTCATGCTCCCACCGCTGCAAGCGCTCTTACAGCACCTTTAAGAGCATTCTCAAATGTCACACACCACAACCCACACACGCGCCACACCCCACGCACCCACTCCCTCCACCACCAGGTGGCAGCACCATCAGAGCTGGCGCTCATGCTGCCGCCGCTGCAAGCGCTCTTACAGCGCCTGCAGCAGCTGCTGGAGGAGTGGCCCGACAACCCCCTCCTCACCACCCTCGTGCAGATCGCCGCTCGCCTGCTCGCCCTCCCCCACACCACACCTCCCCTCAAGGTACTTCTTTGATCTTCCGTAGCTTTGCTTCCGCTCTGTGTTTTCCCTGGTTGACGAATACTATGAGCATTGGAAACTTGCGTATGATGGGCCTAAGCTAAGATTGTGTGTGCTTTCTGACGGGTTGGGTCTACAGGCATTGGTTGGAATGGAGCTGCTATTAACCAAGGCACAGATATGGCAGGAGCATGCAGCAGCCCGGGTCTCCATAGCACGTAAGCCTCGTTTATTCCCTCCCCTCCTTGCTTCCAACCTATCATGCTATCCTTTCCCCAACATCCCCCACCCTTCCAGTTCTCTCCCCTTCGTAACCACTTACTTCTGCAGTGACAGCGCCCCGTATTTTGAGATTTTGTTAGATTATTTCCACTATTGGGCAAGGGCATTCTCGTTCTCTCTCTTTCCTCCTCTTGTTTTCCCTCTACCTCGCCCCCAAACAGCGGAGCTAGCAGGAGTATCGCGAGTGGTGAAGCGGTGGCGCATGAAGGAGCTGGCGTCCTGGCCTGCCCTGCTGGATGCCCGCTCACGCAAGCACACCGCCGCTGCTGACAAGGTGGGTGGGTTACAAGGGGTGGTGGGTATGTGGGGAAGTGGGGGAAGGGAGGAGAGAAGGGGGAAAAGGGGGATTGGGAATTGGATTCTGTTGAGTGGAGAGGGGAGATGTGGTGGAGAGAGGGTACGAAAGGTACGGATTGGGTTACGCAAGCTGAATGTTTGCTGCCGGCCATGTCTCAATGAAACAACAATGCCTCATCTGTTAATCAACCCTATACAGAAAAATTTCTCTCAGATGGTTTCCTCTGCTTGTGCATCTACTTATTTCTGCTTTTCTCCTGTCCCCCTTTCCCCCCGCTCTCCTGACCCCCTCTTTTTCCCCTTAACAACAAACACACATGCAGCTCTGGTTTGTTCTCTACGACCTTCTCATCCAGCCTTCTGAGGCGCCTCAAAAGCCCCTTCTTCCTCCCTCCCCTTCTTCCTCCCTCCCCTTCTTCCTCCCTCCCCTTCTTCCTCCCTCCCCTTCTTCCTCCCTCCCCTTCTTCCTCCCTCCCCTTCTTCCTCCCTCCCCTTCTTCCTCCCTCCCCTTCTTCCTCCCTCCCCTTCTCTCTTCCTCCCCTCTCTCCATGCCACCCACATGCAGCTCTGGTTCGTGCTCTACGACCTCCTCATCCAGCCCTTCTCACAACCCGAACCACAAGAAACACCCGACGAGAAAGACGCAGCTAACAATGAAGCTGCAGCGGAGGCAAGCATGCCAATGGATGGTGTGAAGAGCGAGGGCACGGGTGGTGCAGGCACGAGCAGTGGCAAGGACGGGCAGAAGATAGACCGTATCGCTGAGGTGGCACGAAGGTCAGTCAGCTGAGCCTACCTCCCGGTTGCCCAACAGACTGCCTCAGTCCTTTCTCCTTTATGAACTTCTCAATTTCTTTCCGCTTCCCATTTGCTAGCCTCTACTCAACTGTATAAAGTGAAGTTCTGAGATGTCACAAAATCTTGATTTCCTTTTGCTTCCCATTGCTGGCCTCTTCTCAACCCTTGCAACCAATTTTTCCCCCTGTCGGATCAACCACCTCACCTCCCAACCACTACCAATGTATCCACCACTGTGCCCTTTTCCCCATGCAGTCTAGAGGACTTCATCCGCTCGTCCCCTATTGGCGAATTCCCCCGCCGCCTGCAGATGCTGCGCGCCTTCCGCTCCCACCTCCTCGCCACTCTCTCCGCCTCATCCACTACCACCTCTTCTTCCTCCTCCTCCCCTTCCCCTACTGCTGCCCCTGCCCCTGCTGCTGCTGGTGCTGAGAGTGCTGGGAATGGTGATGAGGGGACAGCAGTACCAGCAGCAGCACATGCAGAAGAGGAGAGAGTGAAGGAGAAGCAGCAGCTCATAGCTGTTCTCTACAACCTCCACAGCTACTTTGCACAGTACCTCGCACCGTAAGAGGCCCTTGCTTTTCGAACCAACCTTGTTCTGCTCATCTATTGAATATGCGCCGCTGTTTTTTTCACAGTCACTCGTGCCCATGCCCTTCTGTCCCCCAGTCTCGCTTTCTTGTTGCTGTGATGCCATGCCCTTCTTGGCATTCAGATTCAAACTCACGTTCACTTGTTGCTGCTCTCCACCTCCACCCTCCCGCTTCCTCCCCCTCCTTTCTCCGACTCGCCCTCCCTCCTTCCCATCCCCATCCGCTTCCTCGTCCTTGGTTCCCCAGAGTGGAATCGGCTATGCGAGCACCCAGTCGGTCCCTTGAACAGGAGCAGCAGCAGCTGGTGGTGCTGACAGCGATTTCTGAGTCAACTCAATCATCCCCACGCGCACTCTTCCCTCCCCCCCCCCTTCCCCCAGAGTAACGTCGGCCATGCGAGAAGCCTGGCGGCCACTGGAGGTGGAGCTGCAGCAGCTGGTGGTGCTGGAGCCAACTCAAAACACACCTCTGGCTATTTCTCACCCGCATCCCCGTGCCCCTCACCCTCCTCTCCCCCTTTCCCAGGATAACGTCGGCCATGCGAGCAGCCCGCCGTCCCCTGGAGGTGGAGCTGCAGCAGCTGGTGGTGCTGACGCGGTGGGACGACCGGTCGTACCATGCTCTCTCCATGGCCTCCGAAAAGGCCCACCGCAAGCTCGTGAAGCTGTCCAGGAAGTGGGATGTGAGTTGTTCGGGGGAGGAGAGGGGAAGGGGGTGGGGGTGGGGGAAGGTTACAGGGGGAGGGGGGAGAAAGCGGGGTAAGGGGGGATGTGAGTGTGGGGGACGGGGGAGAAGGGGAAGTAAAGGCCATATGATTTGTAAGAAACGGAACGAGGAGTTGGGGGAGGGGGGTGGTGGGACGACCGGTCGTACCATGCTCTCTCCATGGCCTCCGAGAAGGCCCACCGCAAGCTCGTGAAGCTGTCAAGGAAGTGGGATGTGAGTTGAGGCAGAAGAGGGGGGGGGGTTGAGAGGGAAAGGGCAAGCAGTGTGGAGTAGGTGGTCTTCTTCCCTTCTCTTTGCTTACTTTCCTCCACTTCTCATCGCATTTCATTTGTTTCTCTTCCACTTCTCATCTTCCCCCAACCCAATACCCGCAGCACTTCCTCAAGCGGCCTGTGGTGCACACGCTAGCAGCATCCTCTGCTCGCATCGGACTGCCAGAGCTCACAGCCGTGCACACAGACCAAGGCAACGACGCAGCAGCAGCAGCTGCAGCAGCTGCAGCAGGGGGCGTGGGGGGGGCAGGCGGGGTGGGAGAGGCAACAGGGGCGGGAGTGGGAAGTGGTGCGCTGCAAGGTGCGGCTGTGATGGCGGCAGTGGCAGCGGCGGCTAGTGCGGGGAAGAGCAAGGCGCAGCGCGTTAGGCGGAGGCGATTCCAGAGGAAGAAGGCTGCTGCTGAGGCTACCAGGTGGGTGCTGCATTTTCAGTGCTTTGATTCATGCATCACAGCTGATGATGCTCGTAAAGGAAAGCAGGCTGTGGGCTGTTGGGACTGGAGTTACAAAGCTGGTGCTTCTGTTACTCTGTTGTGCCATGCAGGTTTGTTGTAGAGCCAACCCGCCTTTCCTGTGTGTCTTGGAAGTTGGGATCCGTGTGTTTCAACACACCATTCTGTGTCACCCTCCCGTGGTGGAATTTGCCTTGCCACTCGTTTCTTTTTGTTAATCTGGGCGTTTCTTGACTGTTCTTGAGATTTCGCACCCTGCATTACAAATCCGTCTCTCTCTCGTTTCATCTGTGTTGTAACTATGTGCTGAGGATGCCCTACAACATGCACGTCGTCAAAATTCTGCCTAAACCCTAAACCCGGGACCCAATCCACTTTCCCTGGCTCTATTTCTCTGTAACCCCGTCAGGCCACCAAGCTTCGAGTCTATCTCTTCTGATCTGACTGGCTACGTGGCGGCTCAAGCACCTCTGCTCGCCCTGCCTCCCATCTCTCCTCACGCCCTTTCCTCATCTGAGCCTGCTGCACCTGTCCAACCACAGCCAGCTTCAGGTCGGTCAACCTGCTGCACCTACACGCTTGCCCTCTCTCGTCCTGTGTTGCAAGCCTAATTTTGAGCGACTCTAAAATAAACTCACTACTGCTGCACCTGTCCAACCACAGCCAGCTTCAGGGCGGCTGGCCTGCACCTACATGCTCGCCCTCTCTTCCTGTATTGCAAGCTTACTAGAGGGCTATGTGCATGCACACGCCCTCAGGAGCGCACTCTCTCTACGTTCTCGTTTCCTCTCGCGTCTCACTTGCATGTTGCCAGCCCATCCTCATGCTTTCTGCTGCCTCAAGGCGTACTGCATTTGCCTTTCAAGAAGTGGTTCGTTTTGCCTTTCAAGAGCCCACCCGTCTAAGCAAGCATCATTGCCCTTCCAATCGACATCTGCCATACCTGCCTACTTACAAATCCTTCCAGTTAAACCAGCAGTCTATTTCCAGATCTGTCTCTCATCACCACCTCACTACCTTCCCCTCCCTCCTCCGTCCCTCTCCCTCCTTTCCCTCTCTCCCCAGCAGGAGTGCCACAGCAGCTTCCCATATCCGCCCTGGCCTCTCGAGCCGCCTCTCTTCTCTCCACTGCCCTCTCCTCCCCATCCCTCCCTCATTCCAACGAGCCTGCTGCTGGTGCTGACACTCCTGCTGCTTCTGGTGCTGCTGCCGCCGTCACCAGTGCTACCGGTGGTGATGGTGAGAGCAGGTCTCCTCTTCCTGCCGGCACAGCAGCAGCAGACATGGAAGCAGCAGAAACGGTAGAAGATCTATCTGTCACAGTCATCTCTCGCTGCTTTGAGCTGAGAGCACTGGGGGAGAAGTGGGGGCGGGAGGAGGGGAAGAGCAAGGCAGACGCAGGCGGAGGGGATGGGAAGGGAGGGTCTGGGAAGGGCGGTGCAGGAGGGGCGGGAGGGGAGAAGAAGGAGGGAGGGAGTCACCGGGGGCTGGTTCGCGCATTGAAGAAAAAGGCTGTGGTTGATCTGCTCAGGACACTGAAAGGCCTTGGTGTTAGCTCCAGGCGCACTGCTGTGCCTGAGGTAAGGACTATTTGTGATGGAATCAAAGCAAGATGTTTCCTGAAGTAAGAATCATTTAAGAGCTATTATGTGGTGGTGGTGGTGGTGGTGGTTGTTTAGAAGGTGATTGCTCCTCCCCGGCCACTGTTTCTCCGTACCTGAAGGAAACTCTGCCAGTGGTCCATTCCATGTGATGATCAGAAAGACTGGTCAGTCGCCTCTGTCTCTCTCACTTCCCCTCTCATCTTTCTTGGTTTTCCGCTCTCTCTCAACCTTTCCCTTTTTCTTGCTTCCCCACCGCAGCACCAACGCAAACCAGACTCGTGGTTCCGCCAGCAACCAACGGACGTGGATCACCTTCTACAGCTCATAGCCTCACTGCAACAACAAGACCCGCACCAGCCACAGCACCAGCAGCAGCGACAGCAACAGCTGCAGAAGAGCGAGCAGCCTGGGAAGGACAGCAAGCTTCTGGCCACGTCAGCAAACCCGCTGAGGGTGCGCCAGCTGGCGGAGGCAGGGGTGGCGACGTGGCAGCGTGCGAGTGGGTACTACTTTGGCAACATGGCGCGGCTGCAGCGCGTGTGGCAGGCCGGCCAATCGTTCCACAAGGACCTCACTCTCAGAGAGGTGGGTGAATGCATTACCGTGGTGAACTATAAAAACACAAGTTTGCCTCTCTTTAAGATTTGTGAACGGCTGGCTTGGCTTTGGGGCACTTTCTTTATGTTCCCTGTATCACTTGACAAGAATGACTCATTTAGGAGGTGGAGGAAGAGGGCGGAAGGCTGAAGAAGAGGAAGGGCGGGGTCTGGAAGTCATCAGTGTGAGGTGATGTGGTGGGTTGGGTGGGGTGAAACCATGTGTTGCTAGGTACGTTACGGTACTTCCATTTTATAGAAGCCGTTCTCTTTGATAGAGTTTCTTTGGGCACTCCTCCCATATATGCCCCACCCTGTGCCTCTTTAACGCACCCTCACATCACCAGGTGACGATAGCCACGCGCATGCTGGAGCATCTGCTCTTCCTGCAAACCTCTCAGCGGGCCACAGCGCAGGCAGCAGCCTTGAGCATCACTCGCCTTGCTTCTGCTGCCTCCACCTTCGCTGCTCTTGGTACGTCCACTCACACTCTGTTTCTCTGAAGAATCTCCAGAGGAGAACAATGCACAGCTTGTTGGAGACCGATGCACTGTCTGAAACCTCGTGGGTTGAAGTGTGTTGCTTGAAATGCCGTCTGCTCTTGACCTTGTGCACTGCTTGACAGCCTTGCAAGTGCAAATGAAGGATGTTGCAAGGCTCAAGACTGACGGATCATTTATGACAGAGACGCACGGGATGTAGGCTCCTGCTGCCCCCAGCATAAGGCACAGAGACGGCAAAATAAAAAAAGATGTGAACTGAACATGGATGGTAACCCTAAATCAATCATTCTTGTCTCCTTCTCCCTGTGTGCGTACGTACATGTGTTAACCATACAGCAGCTCCCAGCACCAACACTGACACCAACTCCAGCAGCAGCAGCAGCAGCATGAGCAGTTGGAGCCCCCTTCCCCCACAGTCGCTCGTTGCCTTTTGGCTTTCGACCCAGCAGGTACAGAATTTTGTGCACGTTTCCTTGCTGAATTTCAAGACAAAGCCGTGTGTTGCTTCGGCGATTTGTTTGTTTCTCTTCCTCCCTCTCCCTCGGCGCTGCTGCCCCCTCTCCATCCTGAGAGTTACCCTGATTTACAGATTCGATGTTTTCCATCTGTACCCATCAGCACCTACTCAACAACCCATCAATTTCTCCCCTCTCCTGCAACTCCTGTCCCCCTTCCCGTTCCTCCCCTCATTCCCTTGCCCCCAATCACACAGCAACTCGTCTCCTCTCTACTGGCCTCCCTCGGCGACCTCCGCCAGCTGGTCGCCTCTGCAGCTGCCACGTGGCACGAGCTGCCACCTGGCGCTCCGTCAGCAACCTCCGCAACCACAGCCGTGACACGAGGCATCGAAGATCTAACCAGAGTCCAGGCATCACTTCTCCTCTTACAGCCTGCACCCCCCACCAGCACACCTGGGCTCCTCTCCTCTTCGCCTCCCACTCTCCTCCCACCAACCGCCCCCTATGTCCTTCTCTCCAACTTCACTCGCCTGAAGGAGATTCACCAACACTTGCAGCAGTGTCTCGAGTGGAATCTACCTGCCCCTGCTTCTGCTGCTGCTACTGCTGATGCTGCCGATGCTGATGCTGTTGCTGGTGATGAGGGCAGTGAGGGTGCTGGAGCAGAAGCGGATGATGGTGCTGCTGGTGCGGATTCCCTCACGCGATGGGTGCCTGGATGGAGGGTTCTGCGAGAGGCCTTTATCAAGGTACGAGGGAAAGGACTCTGGAGTCTGTATTGCGGGCTATGGTGGGCTATTATGGTGGGCAGGGCAGGCACTGGGCTATTATCACAGTTGCACGCAATGTACACGTCTGTCTCGTTTCTTCGCCTCGTATGTTTACACGTGCGCATTCCCTTTTCGTATGTGGACTTTTGAGTCGGCTCAAAAGTCAGCCCTTAATGAATCACGCATGTGGATCTGTGATGCTAGTTTTGCATTGCAGCACCACATGAAGGTCTTTTTTAACCGTCCTTCGCTCTGCGTCTCCCATGCTATTCCTTACTCCCAACCAGGCAAGTGGTGTGGCACTTCAATGCAAGCAGATCCTGAGCCCGTTTTCCTCGACCCCAGCACGACCAGAAGAACAACCAACACCAGGAAACCACTCCACACCACCTTCCACCGAAGCATCTCCCACTCAAACCGAGAACACCACTGCTCCTTCCCACGCTGCCGATCTGACTCCTGAGTTTGCAGCCAGCTTGACTGCCTTCCACTCTGCATATGACACAGCGCTGACCCAGGTGCTACTGGGGGTGCAGTCCCTCTCTCGCTCTGCAAAGCAAAGTGCCCAGGCCCATGCACGGACTGCTGCAGAAGGGAAAGGAGAGGAGAAAGAGGCAGGGGCAGGGGAGGAAGGGCGAGAGGGAGAGGAGGAGGTGGTGGAGGAAGGGAAGGAGGGTGAAGGTTTGGGTGAGGATGGCGGTGGGGAGTTGGAAGGGGTGGAGGGGAGTATTGTGGGGTGGAGCAAGGAGGCGGAGCGGCGGCTGCTGGTGCTGCGCTTGCCCCACATGGTGGCTGCTGTCGATGCCGTGGTGCTTGCTGCTGTACGTTCACAGGCTCGCTAGAAGAATACGTTTCCTTCCTTCCTTTTCTGTCTTTTTTTCTTTCTACTGCTATTTTGACTAGTTATATGGGGGGTGCGTTTGTGTGTGTTCCTTTTCTCCTTCTACTGGCTAGTTATATGTCTCTCTTGTTTGTACCGTTTAATGCGTCTTGTGCAACACCTGACTGTGCTGTGCTGTCACCCCATTCTCCATCTCGTATTGCAGAGGTCCGTGGCTGATGCAAACAGCAAGACCAGTTCCAGTTCAGCAGCATCACAAGAAGAAGAAGCAGCAGCAGCGGCTGCGGCAGCAGCAGTCACGCAGCGACTTGCTCAGCTGCACGTGATGTTGGATCTAGTGGTCACGGCATCGCTCCACCTGCTAGGCAGCTTCCTCTCTCTGCACAAAGCTGTGAGCCTCCCCTCTCAATTTCAAGCTGTCTCCCTCTCTCCAGTCTCCAAGCTCGCCCACGTGCCAGCAAACCTGTTCACGCCTCTGTTCCTAAGCCCTTCTGCGCTTTCTCTTCCTCTTCACACTTTTCTTCTGCTCCCTTCGTATTCCCTTGTTCCGTTTGGATATCCCCCTCGCCAGGTGGCCAAGCTCACCCACGTGCTGGCGAATCTTTTCACAGCGCTCTTCGTTGAGGGTTTTTGCACGTTCAAGGACTCATGTAGTCTCCTCCTTTCTGCCTTTTTTCTTTCCTCGCCTAGGTGGCCAAGCTGACCCACGTGCTGGCAAACCTCTTCACCGCTCTGTTTGTGGAGGGCTTCTGCACGCCTAAGGACGCGCAGGAGGAGGAGGCGGGCAAGGGCGCGGGGAAGTTTGAGGAGGAGGAGGGCACGGGCATGGGCGAGGGGCAGGGCAAGAAGGACGTGAGCGATGAGATCGAGGACGAGAACCAGCTGATGGGCACGCAGGACGAGAAGCAGGTACGTATGTGTTTGTTTGTGCTTCTGCTGGGGATCTGTGAAACTCTTCTTATGACACGTCTCAGAAGGTGAGGGGAAGGGGAAGAGGGGCGTGAGCGATGAGATCGAGGACGAGAACCAGCTGATGGGCACACAGGACGACAAGCAGGTACGTGTGTGTTTATGTGTGCTTCTGCTGGGGGTTTGTGAGACGTTTCCAGAGCCATTTGAGAAACCTGTCAAAAATCTTCGGCAGAGGACGAGAAGCAGGTAATGAGCACGCAGGATGAGAAGCAGGTGTGTCTGCAGTTTGGGGTTTTGAAATGTTCTTCTCAGACGTAGATGCAGGCAGGCAGGTGTGTATGTTGGACGTTCTTTGTAAGGGCATGATTCTGGTCGGCTTCAGAACACATCAGGTAGGTGTGTGTGTGTGTCTCACTGCTCTCTGCAATCTCACTGCTCGCTTCCTTCTCGCTTCTCTCTGCATTTTCACACCTCTCTTCAACGTTTCTCACTGTACACCTGCCTTATACGATCATGAGCAGGAGGAAGGGGAGAAGGGCAAGGACGACAAACTACCCAAGGGAATAGAAATGCAGCAAGACTTTGATGGAGATATGCATGATATAAGTGAGGATGAGGAGGAGGATCAGGAGAAGGAAGAGGAGGGAGAGGAGGAGCAGCAACTGGATGAGGAGATGGGAGATGTTGGCGATAATGCTGATGTGGTTGATGAGAAGATCTGGAAGGGGGATGAGGAGGAGGAGAAGGAGGGGAAGAGGGAGAAGGAGAAGTTTGAGAAGGATTCGACGATTTCGGGGGCGCGGGAGGAGGATTTGGAGTATAGGGGGAAGGATGAGGAGGAGGATGAGGAGGGAGGGGAGGGAGGGGAGGATGATAAGGAGGGTGGGGAGAAGGATGGTGCGAAGGAGGAGAAGGAGGAGAAGGGGAAGGAGGATCAGCAGGCGAAGAAGGACGAGAAGGGGAAGAAGCAAGGGGAGGAGGAGGGAGAGGGGGCGGAGGAGGAAGGAGGAGAGGAGGAGGGTGAGGTGAATGAATGGCAGGGAGAAGGAGAGGAGGAAGGGGAGGAGATGGAGGAATCTCACGGCATTACACCGAGAAAGGAAGAGGAAGTTCCGGAATTAGACCTTCCGGATGATATGGAGATAGACGAAGGGGAGCAGGGTGGGAAGGAGGAGGGAGGGGAGGAGGAAGGGGAGACCGAGGTAGAAGAAGCAAAGGAGGCGATGGGATCGCATGGGAGGCCTCAAGAAGAGGAGGAGGAAGAGGAGGGAGATGTGAAGGATGATGAGTGGGATGAGATGGATGGGGCGAATGATGGTGCTAGTGGCGCTGCTGCTGATGCTGCTGGTGGTGGGGACGAGGAGGGGGCGCAGGAGGAGGGGGAGGAGAAGGGTGAGGGAGAAGGGGAGGGTGAGGAGGAGAAGGAGAGGGATGGTGATATGGAGAAGGAGGAAGGGGAGGAGGGTGAAGAGGAGGGAGAAGAAGGGGAGGTGAAGGATGAGGATGGGGAGGAAGGTGAAGAGGAGGGAGCGGAGGAGGGGGAGGAGAAGGAACCGGAGAACATGGGTACGGGAGCAGAGGCAGCAGTAGCAGAGGAGCAGATGGAGGAGGAGAAAGATATCAAGGGGACTAAATCAGCTAGAGATCAGCAACAGGATGGGAATGAGCAAGTGGCTGGAGTGAGGGCTGCTGGAACTGCGTCTGTTGATGTGATGGGGATGGAGGAGGAGGAGAAGGAGACGAAGGGGCAAGGGAAGGAGGAGGAGAAGGAGGAGGAGGAGGAGAGGAAGAAGAGTGAGAGGAGTATGGAGGGTGGGAAGGAGAGGAGGAAGGGGGAGGAGGGAGGGAGGAAGGAGAAGAGGAAGAAGGAGAAGGAAGAGGTGAATCCGTTGAGAAGCTTGGGGAGTGCTTTAGAGGCTTGGAAAAAGAAGGTGAGTATTGCAGGAGATATGGAGGAGGAGGAAGAGGAGGAGGACGAGAAGGAGGTAGAGGGAGAGAGTGAGAAGGATAAGGATGCGGAGGGGGAGGAGTATGAGTATGTGAAGGGCGAGGAGGAGGGAACAGGGCAGGCTGCAGGAGCAGCGACGGAGGAGCAGATGAAAGAGATGAAAGGGAAGATGGTGGATGAAGAGGAGGAGGAAGGTGCAGAAGGGAATGTGGGAGATGAGGAGGAAGCGGAGAAGAAAGAAGAGGAGGGTGAGGAGGAAGGCAAGGATTTGGAGACGGTTACTGCGGGTGGTCAGGGAGGGAAAAACAAGCAGAAACTAATGAAAGATGCAGCAGAGGAGGATGATGGGGAGGGAGAGGAGGCGGGAGGGGCGAAGGAAGGGGGTGAGGAGGAAGAAGAGGAGGAGGAGTTGGAGGAAGGTGAAGAGATGGAGGTGGATGGGGACGCATCAGGAGCCGTGGATTCTAGCTTCGTATCCATGAGATGGAAAGAGGAGGCCAAGGAAACGGCCCGCTTGAAAGAGGCTGCCGGGGAGAAGGAAGAGGGAGAAGCGGAAGAGGAAGGAGCAGGAGAGGAGGCGAACGCTGCTGGCGGAGCGAGGGAAAAGGTGTGGACAGAGATCGAATTGGAGCGCATGCGAGCCGAGGTAGAGGCGCAGATGCAGCGGATGCGGGAGAGCGAGGAGGGCCGGCAGAAGCTCGAAGCGGCGCGGGACGCGTGGCGGAAATACGAGCTACTGTGCAGTGGAGCGGCGCAGGAGCTAGCAGAGCAGCTTCGGCTTATTTTAGAGCCATCCATGGCTACGAAACTGCAAGGAGACTACCGCTCGGGGAAGAGAATCAACATGAAGAAGGTGATTCCGTATATTGCGAGCGGGTTCAAGCGGGATAAGATCTGGCTGAGAAGAACCCGCCCTGATAAACGCAAATACCAAGTGGTTCTAGCGATAGATGACTCGAGAAGCATGTCTGAGGCGCGGTGCGGGCATCTGGCTCTCGAAGCAATGGCCACGATTTGCCGAGCGATGTCGACGATCGAGGTTGGGGAGATCGGGGTCGTTGCTTTCGGCGAGCCGGGTAACGTGCGCATGCTGCACGAACTAGACCGGCCGTTCTCCCCCGAAGCAGCTGTGCAGGTCATCTCGCAGTTTTCCTTCAAGCAGGACAACACGATTGCGGATGAGCCGATGGTTGAGCTGTTGAGGTTCCTGTCCGGGGCGCTGGATTCAGCTGCGATGAGGTATTCTGCGAGTGCTGGCATGGGAGGAGGCGGGCATCTGGAGCAGCTGGTGCTGATCGTGGCGGACGGAAGGTTCCATGAGAAGGTATGGCGTGACATGTGACATGGAATGTGGTGTGGCTTTTGGCATGGACTGGCATGGCGCATGGAATGGCAAGGGAGGGGGAACCCATCTGGACCAGCTGGTGCTGATTGTGGCAGATGGACGGTTCCATGAGAAGGCATGGTTTGGCATGTTGTGCAGCATGTGGCGTGGCATGTGGCATGTGGCATGGCACATGGCATTTGGCATATGGCACATGGCAGATCGCACATGGCATGTGCACATGGCACGGCATGCATGGTGCAACTCTGTCCCTTTCCGCCCCCATCTGTGCCCTGTGTGGAACCATCCCCCACATCACCCACAACCTCATCCCTTCTCCAACAATCTTTCTGCCCCTACCGCTCTCCCTGCCTTCCCCACACCAACCCCCCTGTGCGTCCACCTCACCAGGAAACGCTAAGGCGCACAGTGCGGCATGCCATGGGCAAGGGGCAGCTGCTGGCATTCATTCTGCTCGACAGCCCTTCTGAGTCCATCCTTGACATGCAGGTACGCACGCACTCTGGCAAAAACTCATTCACCTGCACCCGCTCAAAACCCAACACCCACCCAAAACCCAGCAACCAAGAATGCCCTAAGTTTCCTCTCCTTTTCACCGAGGAAGCATGCTTTGTCTGCTACTCCCATACACAATGAACTCTCAGTACTTGCGACCTCGATGCTGTCCGTCTCAGTACTCTCAGACTATGAACTGACGTCTGCTCAGATACCAACCGCTTACAGCAACACGCTCTCCCTCCATTTCCCCAACTCTTCGATCGCCTGTCTTGGCCCCATTCTCCCTGCCCTCTCTGGCACCCCTCTTCCAGTTCATGTCATTTTCAGATGGGGTCCCGGCCCACTCTTGAGCTACTTGGACTCACATTGAGATTCATACAAGTCATATCCCCATTCCCCCCTGCCCTCTCTCGCACCCCTCCTGCAGTCCGTGTCATTCTCAGACGGGGTCCCAGCCTTCTCAAGCTACTTGGACTCACATTGAGATTCATACAAGTCATATCCCCATTCCTCCCTGCTCTCTCGCACCCCTCCTGCAGTCCGTCTCATTCTCAGACGGGGTCCCAGCCTTCTCAAGCTACTTGGACTCCCTTTGAGATTCATTCAAGTCTTATCCCCATCTCTACCTGCCATCTCGTGCACCTCCCCTGCAGTCCGTGTCCTTCTCAGACGGGGTCCCAGCCTTCTCAAGCTACCTGGACTCCTTCCCCTTCCCCTACTACATCCTCCTGAGGGACATCCACGCACTCCCTCGGACACTCGCAGGCCTGCTCAGACAGGTATGGCATAGCAGCATGGGGAATGCTGTCATGGGGCTGCAAAGAGGTGGCTGTACCCGTGACAGGGATGTCATGTGATTGATACACTGTTTGGTAGACACTGATGTTGAGTTGTGGGTTTGCATCTACATGCTGCTGCTGCTACTGCTCTTGCTGATTGCACCACCAGCTCCTCGTTCCTGATTCCTATCCCTTTGTGTCTGCTTCTTCGCCCTCTCCCCAACTGCTCTCCCTGTTTCCCTCTGGTGCAGTGGCTTGAGTTCGCTAGAAGCAGAGGGCAGTAGGCATCATCACATTCATTGCAACGTACAGTGCATCAACTCACTCCGCTTGGCTGATGGAAACATACCTATCACTTAGCAAGTAGAAGTGGCTGAGCTTGATTATTGTTCCAATTGACGGTGTGGGCCTCATATACCACTTGGCGACGGCGTATTCTCATTTTTAGATCCTTTAGCACGCCTAGATTGATATTGAATACATTGTCACATTGGGCTAGTAAGCAGCTTCAGTGTTGTGTCAATTCCAAATGTTGGTGGACTTCTTGGATCAGCAGCAAAAAAAAACAAGAGGCGACGAAATCGTCTTAAAACCGAAATATAGAATAGTGAACCCCGTCCCAGCTTGAAAGTGTCTTTCGGAGTGGGTTTGCAACGCACTGTTTCAAACATTTCGTGTGTGCAGATCGAACCCATTTGATTGGCTCCTGCCAAAAACGAATTTTCTGGGCCTTACACAAGGAGTCGCCTTCAACATGATGTACCCGCACGACGGCTGCACGGCGATCGTTGCGATCGTTGGGCCCAACTCCAACTTCAAGCTGGACCTGGGTTCCACTACTTCTTTCCACTCTGGTCTCTAGTTTAGCCAAGCTTACAATAGCTGGAAACGTAGGCATTTTTGCCAAGGCAACTACCGTTTTTATAAATTTAATCATCACCCTTCTATTCCTGGCCTAGTGGCGAGGGATATTACGCGCCTCGTAGCGATAGTTGCCTCGAGATTATTCGGTTGAACTCGCTCGCCGCTGGAACGCCCTTTTGTCGCTCAGCTCATCACCTTCACATTCGCCTAGGATTGCCCTCGCGGCGGCCTTATTCCGTTTTCCCGTCGCGCTCTCTCTATCCGCTCCCTTCCCGTCGCCCTCTCTCTCCCCCCTCCCTTCCCGTCGCGCTCTAACTCTCCGCTCCCTTCCCGTCGCCCTCTCTCTCCCCCCTCCCTTCCCGTCGCGCTCTCACTCTCTCCTCCCTTCCCGTCGCCCTCTCTCTCGCCCCTCCCTTCCAGTCGCGCTCTCTCTCTCCGCGCCCTTCCCGTCGCCCTCTCTCTCGCCCCTCCCTCCCCGTCGCGCTCTCTCTATCCGTGCCCTTCCCGTCGCCTCCCTTCCTGTCGCGCTCTCTCTCTCCGCTCCCCGTCGCCCTCTCTCTCGCCCCTCCCTTCCAGTCTCGCTCTCTCTCTCCGCGCCCTTCCCATCGCCCTCTCTCTCGCCCCTCCCTTCCCGTCGCGCTCTCTCGATCCGCGCCCTTCCCGTCGCCTCCCTTCCCATCGCGCTCTCTCTCTCTCCGCTCCCTTCCCGTCGCCTTCTCTCTCTCCCTTCCCACTGTCAGAGGTCCACTGGAGATCCCCGATGATCCTAGGGAAGGGTTACAGGCATGTTGGCCTGGGGGGTTATGGGCGCACTCACCCGCTATACAAACAAGCCCTTTTATCCCAGTGGTTAGTGGCTGGGATTCTGACATGGTATCAGAGCGAAGGTCTCGGGTTCGAATCCCGGTGTGTGCACCTCGGGCATCCCAGTGCGGGGGGGTGTCAGAGGTCCACTGGAGATCCCCGATGATCCTAGGGAAGGGTTACAGGCATGTTGGCCTGGAGGGTTATGGGCGCACTCACCCGCCATACAAACAAGCCTTTTTATCCCAGTGGTTAGTGACTGGGATTCTGACACCCACCCATCGCCCTCTCTCTCTCTCTCCCTTCCCTCCCGTCGCCCCTTTTCTCTCCCCGCCCACCTTGTCGCCATCGCTCTCTCCCAACCTACCTTGTCCCTTTCGCGCTCGCCACGAAACGCCCTCTCGCCACGAATTTCCCCTCCCATCGCCCACCACTTCGCCTTTGTGCTCGCCCCGAAATGCCCCCCCCCCGCCCCCCCGTTCGCCTTTCTTTCCTCCCCTCCCATCACCCACCTCGCCCTCCCGTGCCCTTTCTTGTTTTGATGGAATTGACTTTTATTGATCGCCAGGGGGTACTTACTTACGCTGCCAGTGAATTCGCCTTTTTTTTATTTATGAATCATGATTTTGTAGGTACTTTACTCCCTTCTTGTCGTTCATCCTCTCTCCCCTCCCTTCCCGACGCTCCCGCTGTCCCCCGTTCCATTTCCGTCTCCTTCACTGTCCTCCCTCCTTCCTTTCCCACCTCTCTCTCTCTCTCTCTCGATAAGATTCGCCGCCAGCACGAATTCTCAGCCGCCGCCGCTGCCGCCAGCAATTCCCATCACCTTTTCCCATCATCTTGTTTCTCATTCCCCAGTAATTCCACCTCTCAGGCACCAAGTCCAAGGCAACAATAATGTCACAGCTCTGCTATGCACAACTGCTGCATGCTATTGTGCCTGTGCTGTTGCTCGATGTGAAATTGGGGAGTTGATTCCGACGGTGCTAGGCATTGCTCGCGCTACCGTGCGACAAATTCGCACATGCATGTGGGATATGTTCACACCAATCAAATTTGGGAAAAGAATTCCAACTGTTCCCCGTTCATTTTGGAAATCCTTTGGAGGCAAAAACAAATATACAAAATGACTTGGTTCTCAAGTGGACCCAACTAGAAGGGGGGGGGTCACTATTTTAGGTGCTGGCTTTAAGGTTGCGAAGCAACACTTCTAATATGCGTTAGAGCAGCACATGTTGAACTGTTATGCATCGAACATCCTCGAACGTATAACCAATATCGCGTATGGATAGACAACAAATTAATAACGGTAATGGTGTGTGTACTTGGTAGTTGTGAGATTGCATAAGTTACTTTTTTAGTCTATGTTGTTCTAGTGTAATAAATTACAATCAATTATGTAGGACTACTTGGTTGTTTCTAAGAAGAAATTCGTAAAGTGGTTGCACTGGGAATCGAAATTCTAGACCTCCCAGATGCTCACGCTACTTCTACACCACTGCGCTTCGGAGACCGATTGTAATGTTCAAGTTTAGGAATAAGACAATTGTTGTTGCGCGTCAGTTGGCCTAGGGTTTGGTTCATTTTCTTTCTCTCTGTTATGAGTTGTGAAAGAAGAGAGTGCGCAGAACTCAATAATGCGGAAGTGATTACAACGTCTGCATGAACAACGAGGCCTAGGCACAATATAGCAAGTCCTAGCTAGGCCGAGGTCGCGGGGTCGCGAGATGGTTGGGTGCAGGTTCGGGGTTGGAAAACCCGAAGGCGACGCGGTGGTGGCTCGGAAGGCGAGGTCGGCGGACCGAGCCTGGTTTTCCGAAAGTCGGGGTTGTACGCGTACGGAGTGACCCAGTAAGGAATCCGAAAAATTCCTTACACTACCCCCCCCTTTAAGAAAGGTGGTGAATATCCGAGACACCTCGGCGGGCCAGGTAAGCATCCACAACCGGATGTCCCAGTAGCGAGTCCGCGTTGACGTACGTGTCGTCCTCGCTCGTGCGTTCTTTCCAGCGAAGCAGGAACTTGACCGAGCGGCCGGCGGCGGTCACCTCCACACGATGGTTGAGAACCTTCCAAGGTTCCAGCGTAGGCTCTGCCACGGGGCGTGTGGTCGGCGCGAGGGATGGCCGAGCAACAGCTGGCGACTGCGGCTGTTCGTAATGACGCAGTAGGCTGACGTGGAATGCGTCATGGATTTTCCAGTCATCGGGTAGCAGCAGCTTCGCGGTGACAGGTGTCACCATCTGGATGATACGAAAGGGTCCCACGTATCGGGGCCGTAATTTCGCGGGCTGCGGCAGCCGGAGATTTTTGGTGTCGAGTAGCACAACCTGCCCTGCGCGGAAGGGTAAGTTCCATCGATGCTTGTCCGCCTGGTGGCTGGCTGTGGTATTAGCCCGTCGAATAAAATCAGCTGCTTTCGTGCGGGCGGTCTGCAGCTCCGTGACAAATTGTTGTGATCGTGGTACCGGGTTGTCCACAGTCGTTGAAGAGGGTACCACGGGGTCTATCCCGTAATTTAGGAAGAACGGTGACTGTCGAGTCGTGGCCGAAGGGGCGTTGTTGTACGCAAATTCCAGCATCGGCAGCGAATCCTCCCACTTGCGGATGTCGGGGCAGTTGGTGCGAATCAGTTGCTCCATGGTCTGATTTGTCCGTTCCGTCTGTCCGTCGGTTTGCGGGTGGTATGACGACGAAAACTGCAGGCGGGTACCGTACTGTGCCCACGTCTCCTGCCAGAACTTCGACGTGAACTTCGGATCACGATCGCTGATGATCGCCGAAGGTAACCCGTGTAAGCGTACGACGGTGGAGATGAACAGTTTAGCTGTATCTTCGGCTGTGATCGTCGTGCGGCATGGGGCGAAATGCGCCATTTTCGTTAGGCGATCGACGACGACCATTACCGAGTCGTTGCCACTCGCGCCAGCTGGTAGCCCCGTGACGAAATCCATCGTCACCTGTTGCCACGGTCGTTCGGGTGGCTCGAGGGGTTGCAGTAGTCCGGCTGGCCTTTGTCGCGACGACTTCATTGCTTGGCAGGTCGGGCAGGTTGACACGTAGCGCTGCACATCGGTTAACATGTCCGGCCAGTAATAATTCCGCTGCAGCAGCTTCAGTGTTTTGTCGGTGCCGAAGTGCCCGGAAAGGTTGGAGTCGTGAACCTCCTGCGTCAGCAGCTCCCGTAAAGGCTGGTATGCTGGTACCCAAATCCGGTTAGTACCGGCTTTTAGGTAGTACTTGCCGTGCGGTGTAGCAGCCTGTTGTTGCGGGTTCCGAAAAAACCTGTCGATCTTGTAGCCGTGGGTGAATAGTCCCGTCAGCATCGGGTTGGTGTGGGCGATTAGCACCGCCGCGTTTTGCATGGATGGTCGGGTGAGGGCGTCGGCGATGTTGTTGGCGCCCTTTTTGTACGTGATGTTGTACCGAAAGTTGGACTCAAGAAAGTCCAGCCACCGGATTTGTCGCGGGTTGAGTGTCGGTTGCGTGCGCATGTACTGTAGCGATTTGTGGTCGGTTCGAATAGTCACGTCGGCTCCCGTGAGGTAGCAGCGCCAGACGCGGAATGCATGGACGATGGCCAGCATCTCCTTGTCGTGGACTGGGTAGTTGCGCTCGGGTGGGTGCATCTTGCGTGATTCGTAGGCGATGGGTTGCAGCCCTTTGCCGAAGTCCTGTAGCAGGACGGCGCCGACGGCGAAATCGCTGGCGTCCGTGACGACTTCGAACGGTCGAGATGGGTCGGCGAGGCGGAGTGCAGGGGGTGACTTCAAAATGTTTTTGAGGGCGTCGAAGGCGGACTGCTCCCTCTCCCCCCACCGAAAATCACTGTCGTGATGCAGCAGGTCGGTCAGCGGCTTGGTTATCCCTGCCATATTAGGTACAAAACGACGAACGTAGTTAACAAATCCCAAAAAACTTTGCAACTCAGGGATATTAGTAGGCGGCTTCCACTTAGCGATGGCGTCCACCTTACGCGGGTCGATTTTAATCCCTTCGCCAGAAACCACGTGCCCCAAAAACTCTAATTCCGGCTTTAGGAACTCGCACTTAGACCCCTTCGTAATGAGCCGATGCCCCCGTAAACGCACGAACACCTCCTCTAAATCCCGCAGATGGTCCTCTTTTGTCGCGCTGTACACCAGAATGTCGTCCAAGTACACGATGACTTTTTTGTCCAGCATGTCCCGAAAAATCCCGTTCATGGTGAGCTGGAACGTCGAGGGCGCGTTTGTCAGACCGAACGGCATCACTGTGAACTCATAACTGCCGTAACGTGTGCGAAAAGCGGTCTTCGGGCAGTCGTCGGCGAACACGCGAATTTGGTGGTAGCCTCCTCGCAAGTCGATCTTCGAAAAATACCGAGCTCCGCGAAGTTGATCCAGCAGATCGTCAGTTCGCGGGATCGGGTAACGCGATTTTATCGTGACCCGATTCAGCGCCCGATAATCAATACACATTCTTAGGCCCCCGTCCTTCTTCGGCGTGAACAGTATCGGCGCTGCATACGGCGACGTGCTTGGCCGGATGAAGCCCTTGGCGAGTAGATAATCCAGCTGTGCCCGCAACTCGGCGAGCTCTGGTTGGCTGAGCCGCCACTGTGACCGTACAGTAGGTTGCGCTCCCGGCTCCAGCTGGATCCGATGATCCTCAGGTCGTTGGGGGGGCAAGCCATCCGGGAGGTCATCCGCGAAAATTTCGGGATACTTCCGAATGATGCTCGCCAATTCCTCGGGGACTGCTGCGCAGAGGGTGTCGATGTCCGCGATTTTCTCGGAAGCTGCCACCTCGTACAGGTGCACCAAGAAGGTCTGAGCTCCGCTGTTCATCGCACGCTGCATGTTGACCGCGTTGACACGTGTCGTCACCGGCTCCGGCTCCGTCCATTTCGGAAGCGTCGTCTTCCCTCCGTATCCTCGCACGACGCACGCCCCAGTCGTCCAGTCGATCGTCGGATTGA